ATAATAATAATAATAATAATAATAATAATAATAATAATAATAATAATAATAATATAATAAGTAAATACATAATTTACTGCTGGACATTAAGGTTAGGGTTGAGTGCGTCCTCACTAAATGTCACGAAAATGTTGTTTAAACGAATAATTGTAGGGCTTTATTACCGGCTAATTTAGTGGATTTTTAAAACAAATGATCCATCATTTAGTGATTCATGATTGAGTAATAATATGACACAGATTTGGGCACAATATTATGATTTGCATTTGGTATTTTGATTTTCCAAAACATGTATTTAATTCAAATAGAGTAATATAGGACTAAGGTAAAATGGCCTTTTTTTCAAAAAAAAAATTACAATTCATAATTGGTATTGTCTAAAGAAGAAAATTAGGAAAAAACATAGCTTTGTATATACGCTGTTAATGTCTTATAGTGTTCTGCTAATCTGTAAGTTGTGACTGCTCAACTTATTAATTCTTCTGTTACAAAATTAATTGTTGGGGATTATTAGGATAGTTGTGGACCTCCCTGTAGGCCTATCAGTATAGTTTGATTATTAATTTTGATAATTTTGAAATATCATAAAGTTCAAGCTTGATGTATATAAAAGAAATTAAACATACAAGATTTTAATATGTTGTTATGGATCATATACATTTTAAAAAGTTAATATTTCCACAAAAAAAAATGAATTTTATCCTTTGTATAAGCCTATACGATTCAGGTTATTTGCTTTCAATTAAAAAAAAAAAACAAAAGAGAAAGAAAAGAAAACAGTGTGTTTTTTCTTTAAAGAGTATGACAAATATTAACATAGGCCTACTGTTGCTTTTATTTCCTTTTTGTTATTTTGTATATATTATGTTATTTTGTTATTACATTAGAGGTTTCTCAGACCCTAATCTGTTTTAAACGTGCACGCAATATAAATACCCAATACCAGTACCAGTTATATTATTGCAAATAAGAAAGTTCAGACTTCAGTTGATGTGTTCTTCTTCCAATAACAACTATTTACAATTACTCCATTAGAGGGAAGTTCATTATCAGCAGATCACTCCTCACATTGAACGTATAGACAGGGGCATTATCATCATCATCATCATCATCATCTTCATCGTCGTCATCATCATCGTCATTATCATCATAATCGTCATCATCATTTCATTGGTTTTTCTTGAAAAAAATATGATTCGTATTTGTATTACTTTTGACCTTGTTTGTTCAATACAATAAAAATGTGTTCAGTGTTGAAGAATATAAGCAATGCTATGATCATGTCGTTATCGGTCTAGTGTAAATGTAACTAGAGAGCTCAGAGGAAATGTTCGAATCAATGGAAGAGCTAACGGAAGAAAGATAAGATTTTCTTGAATTTTTGACATCGTTGTTTGGCATGCAAGTACTGATTTAAGTCTTCCGAATCTGATTACATAAGCCTTTGTAGACAGTTTTGATTGCTGTCATAATTACTAGTATTTGAAAATATTATTCTTCACTACACTACAGACAGGATAGATAAAGATAAAATTTATTGTCTCCAGTTAAAATAAACGAAGAAATTACAATGCTGGAAAAAAAATACAATTCCAAGAAATTCATATAAATATTGGTCAAGGGAAAAAAAATCAAAATTCCATCAAAAAGCAGAGAAAAATTTAAAATTATAGAAGGCTAACAATATTTAAAGATAATGAAAAACATTAGAAGAGAACAAAAAAGTGTTAAATATTTTTAAAAAGGAGAAACTACTCAAGAGGAAAAATCATTAAAAAAAAAATATTATTATTATTATTTTCTTATTTTTAATATAATAATAATAATACTATAAACACTATTAATATTTTCATCATTATTACAATTATTATCATTATCACCATTATTATTATTACTATTACTATTATTATTATTACAATATTATAATTATTATCTATCTTTTATGATTTTCATTGAAGTATTTTATACCCTTAGCTATAAATAAATTACGATAGGCCTATCTATTTGTGTTTGCATTCGGTAGTCTTGTCGGTAAAGTATAACCAGAAATATGTCTAAATATATCACCTTGAAATAAACGAAGAAACCACAATGCTCGCAAAAAAATACAATTCTAAGAAATTCACTTAAATATATTGGTTAAAGGAAAAAAATCAAAATTCCATCAAAAGGCACTGAAAAATTTAAAAGTATAGAAGGCCAACAATATAAGAAGAGAACAAAAAAGGGTTACACATTTTTAAAGGAGAAACTACTCAAGAGGAAAAATCATAAAATAATAATTATTATTTTCTTATTTTTAATAATAATAATAATAATGATAATGATATTAATAATACTAATCACTATTATATTTTCATCATTATTACAATTATTATCATTATCACCATTATTATTATTATTAGGCCTATTATTATTATTATTATTATTATTATTATTATTACTATTTCTATTAATATTATTATTACAATATTATGATTATTTTCTATCTTTTATGATTTTCATTGAAGTATTTATACCCTAGCTAAAAATTATTACGATATCTATTCGTGTTTGCAATCGGTACCGTACTCTTTTAGGTAAAGTATAACAAGAAATATGTCTAAATTTATCACCATTTTGAACATAATCAAACACAGTATTTTTCCCTAGGTAATCGTGGCCTTTTAGTTTTGTTATTAGGAATCCAGTCTTTCTAACCAATTAACCAGGACATTTAAAATAATCAACAATTTAAAATTCGCATTTAAAAGAAGATTCAGTAGCTTAGGTGCCACTGGAATCTGAACCCACTTTACTTCGGCTTATTTTTGTAACCCGGTGATTAAACAATTCTCTGATTGGCCAAAGAACAATCTTAACTTTTAGAACAGAGATAATTACTCAGAGAGATAAAATATCACTCAATAGTAACAGACTTAAACATATTTGAGCATGAAATCCATAAGGCCTGGTGTCGATGCATCAAAAAGGTTTCTTAATTTACCCAATATTTACTGATTCTTGAGTTTTCTAAAGCGTGTGATTCTGTGACCATTGAGCTTAAGTCGGGCTTTAAGTTCATCGCTGCTTGGTAAATTACTGTACACTTCCATCTAATACGGGATTCAATATTATGGCTTTGCCTGCAGCTGAAGTTGCCGACGAGGTATTGAACCTGAATGTCGGGGGATGCATCTATACAACAAGTCGCTCAACGTTAGCACGTTATCCGGATTCAATGCTAGGGTCAATGTTCAACGGCAGTTTGCCATCTGCCGTCGATGATTGCCATCGCTACATCATTGACGGAGACGGTCCAACATTTCGACACATTCTGAATTTCCTCCGTCGATCAAACCTTATTCTTCCTGACGGTTTCCAAGAGTTGGATATTCTATCGGCTGAGGCAGACTACTACCAAATACAAGAACTCATTCAACTAGTAAATACACATGGCGGATTTATGGCAAACCAAAAATAATCCATCAAATCTTAACAACTGATATTGATTATTTTATACGTGAATACACACGTGAAGAATATCCAACTTATTCGCAGCCTGTTGATGAGATTGGCAGGGAAGAATGCACTGGATATCTATTAAGACCGTGGAATAGAACTAAAAAATGTATACAATATCCATGCCCAGATCTAAGTCGAGTGAGGTTGTTCGGAGGCATAACCAAGTTTGGCTTTACGTTGATATCTACGTCCTCACACGAACCTGCACAAGGGAATTGGACATTTTCACGAAAAGAGGTTGCCGATGACTAACTATTTAATATTCTGTTTTTAAATGATATTTTTACTGGCTAGGGTTTTCTACCCTTTTTAAAGGTTAAGTATATGGATGCGCCTACATTGATCATCGTGACAATACTGTGTAATCAAATAAGAATATGTATGCCTGTCAGGAAAAATTTAGTCTGGGGTCAATCGTCCGGCGGACCGATTTTAGCCTCATTATTACCGGCCAAAAGTAGTCTACGTAAGCCAAAATCGGTCCACCGAAATTTACTTTCTGTGCTCAGCACACTGGGCATCTTATCAGCACTACGGGTATTTGCTTAGCCACTCCGTACTTAGTGCCAAACTATCGTAATTGATGTCCTGAAGTGATGTATTTCACAGTCTTACTGGACTGTTTATTATTTTGGGCCTGTGAATTTTACATACCTGATTTGGCCATTCAAATTTCAAATCAATCATACTTTTTTACTGTTTGAGACCGACAGGCATGTAGGTCATTAATGTAGCAGGACATCGCATGATCAATATTTTGTTTATGTGTTAACAATAGTGATTTAATTGAATGTTAGCAAAATCAACAAAATATAATATCAATTTTATTAATCTATGTTCATCTAATGGAATATCCATGGTTTGCAGTCAAAAGATGGGGTAATAAATAAATTAATTAACTACAGTACAGTACAATATGTTTAAATGGCTGTAAATAGAACCACTTCTATTAAAATTATCTGTAATAATTTTATTATTAAATTTAGACAACTATGAATATTAATATTTTAATATTAATTACGTTCCTACTTATTTTACGATTTTTTCCAAAAATGGTTTGTAGCTTTACAGCAAACTACTAACTGTAGGCCCCTATTTAGTTTAGTTTATATTCTATAACATCTAATGTCCTACGCCTAATGGCACAACCGGTGTATGTATAATTTTTTAATTCAATAGCATTATTAAAGAAATGCTAATTGTTGTATTCATGGTTATGATTACTATTATTGAATATATTTTTTTTATATCCACTTGTTAAGAAATATATTTAAATTTTAGCAATTTTCGTGAGTCATCAATTTTAACAATGTCATTAAAAATACTGATCAATATGTACACTATTGTCCTCACACTGAGGAAGAACACAGGCGTGTTTAAAATATTTGTCATTAAATAAATTATATTACTTCATATTTTTGTCTACAATGAGTAAAAATCAGTAAAAATAACAAAATAAATAATATTAGTTTATTGTTAGTACTGTACTTTGCTCATTCACTGGTTATGCAGTTTGATGATCACCTACTTTACTTCCTAATGTTTTCTCTCACGTTGAGAAAGTTCTGAGGACCGGACGATATATTTGTG